CTTGGTGAAAAATATAATTTTAATTTTAATTTTCGACTTTTAAAAAAAGTTTAGTTGAAATTTTATCATATATGTAGTTCTTATTTAGTAATTTCAATGATTAAAAATTTTTAATTTTCATCTATATGCTATATTAAACTTTCACTTATAATTTGTTTTAAAACTAAAAATGTTGAATGGAAAGGGGTTGTCGTGTGTTCTTTTTTATACCGTTTGCTACTGTTCAAAAAAATAATAATAACCTTCTTAAGTGGAGCCCCCCTTCTACAATTATGGGGTGTTTGCCGTACATTTATATGTATAAATTAAATGATAAATATGAGATTTCACATAACTCCAAATTAATTAATGTTAGAGTTGTTTGTTTTGTCTTTATATTATTTCACTATTATTCCAAAAAAATGGAGAGGGGTATAAACTATAAAGCATAAAATAAAAATAAGAGCCATTGATTAATTTCTCTAGTTAATTAACGTGTTTTGAAAGCCAAATATCTATGTCCTTAAAGAAGATTATATTATCAACATTCCCTAATGAATGTAAAAAGAGAAAATGAAAAAAAGAAAAACACATTGTTCCATAGCAGCCTGCAGGCAGCTGCCAAGAAAAAGCCCCAAAGAATTCCATCATTTTTTTCAGAAAGAAAGAAAAAAAAGAATGGAAAAGGTAACATTTATCCACTGAAGCTAAACAATTTTATTTCCAGGACGTGCACATTTAAGAATAGGGACTTCTTCAGAACCTTAAAATCTTAATTAAATCTAAGAGGAAAGGAATTTCCATTCCCAAATTTAAAAAAACAAAAATTTGAAATATTGTTTGCTCAGCATTCTTTTTGAAAAATAAAAAGAAAAATTCATCTATAATTGTACAGTTCAAAATGAGATATAATAAAAAAGAACCAACAGTAAATTTTCAAATTCTGAAGTTTATTTACATCTTTTTGCCAGAGAAGGAACGATACAAAGAGGGAGATGAGCGAATTAAAATTTGAAATTTAAATCAACTGTACTTCATAGTAACCAACCACCTTGCGTTCCTTCTCAGCATTGTATTTGTCTAGAAACTTCGTTGACCTGTAAATATCCACAATCGACCTGAATCGCCTCTTTCTTGGTCGAAGATGGAAATCATTCTCGTCTTCGTCGTCGTCGTCTTCGACGTTTTCGAAGATGCCTTTCACTAACGTTGTGGTCGGCGTCTCGGCTTTGCTGCTGTGATCAATATCATCCCGTTCTTCTTCTTTCCGCTTGACGCCGCCACTACTGGCGGCGCTACCATTGTGATGGACGCCTCGACATAGCTCCATTAGGAGGAGAGCGGCGTCGAGTTCCATATCTGAGGCAGCGAGGCCGATTTCGCGGTTGCGGGTAGAAGGTTGTTTCACCATTTTCTTGTCGAGATCCCAGGGGAGCAAGAAACGCTGTTTCTTTGAAACTGCGATGGGGACAGCTTATATTTGAAGTCGGCACGTGCGAAGCGTGTGATGAATCATTTTCCTAAATCCTAAGGTGGATACGTCCTGGAAACCGACTTTGGATCGCCGACTTACTCGGATTGTTGACGTGTCTCTTCACGATTACTTCTATTAATTAATTTTTTATTCTTTATGGAGCAAAAAAATCCTTTTGAAAATGTGAATATATTCGAAAATTTCCCCTTTTGCATTGTAATTCCTTTTATTTTTATTATTTTTTAACGTTATAATATGATATAAAATTATAAATTTATAATTATATAATATATTATTAACTAAATATGAAATATTTAGAAAAATCACATATATTGACAAATAACCCCTAAGTTATAATAACACATTGTGTATTAAAATATTATATTATAAATTTATAATATGTGATTCGTGTTTATTTATTTTACCTCTTAAAGATAAAGAGAAAAATTATTTTAAAATTATATAATTTTAATAAAGTATTACATAGAAAAATAAAAAATACTTTAATTCATGGTTTAAAAATAAAATATTTTAATCTTTTT